TATACTATAAGAATATTCTTGCAAAAATAAAATCAATATTTAAAAATTTATCGTGCAGAAAGTACTTGTTACAAAGTAAATTATTTGCAATAAACCTACAATTTCTCAATTAAGAAGAATTAGAGCGCATCCATGCCGGGGTATCAAACATAAATTCTTCAATTCCTTCGCCTTGTACCAATGATGGAGTCTCGGTCATACTAAAATCCTCGTTTTCATTATTTGTATTGAATCATCAATTCAGTCTGCTGCACGAGATGATTGTTTGAACGAAATTGACAACTGAAATGAAACTTGTTGTGTACCAATAACACTTTGATTTAATCTTTATAATGGAAGTCTCATATTTGATCCAGAAATTGAAAAATTATTGATATAAGGTTACATATTATCCTAATCCCTTCCAAATGTACAATCACTATTTACCAACAGATATACCATTTTTGCCCCTTCTTTTTTCCTGTGGGTGTGGATGGGTGAAAGGAAGAGCGGGGAAGCCACCAAAATTTTGAGTTAAATAGGGCATGCACCCATATTGATCTTATTAATCGAGAAAAAAAAAGTACAAGAGGGGAACAAGCCATTGTACCTACTACCTAGAAAGTATACAGAGAATTAAAAGATGATAAATCAGATAAAAAGAAAAGAAAGTTCGGAATATATGATAGCTTTAGGAGTCAAAAACATTCTCTTCTACGTTATCCTAGCAAAACTTTGATTAATGTGCTCAGTCATACGCACCATCAACGGACTAGGCAATTCACTTCTCATAATCTAAAGGAATGACAAGTTGAGGAGGCCATGAAGGCTGTAGAAGACGTCTAACAAAGTTATCATCTCTAAAACAATTCAATGTCCATACCATATATAATAGCAAAATTTCAGTAATAATACTTAGTAAGTATGTTATTGTTGCTTACTATGTTAATAAGTCAGCAACTTATCCTTTTAAATAGAGTGCTCTAGCTCAATCTCTTTCTGATTGCACAAAGGAAAAATCTAAACAACACTTAGAATTGTAAGGTCATATTCCAACTTTGTGATATGAAAGTGTATTACAAACTGGAAATTTAATATGAACAAAACCAAACATAAAATTGCATTTAAAACAATAATTGCATATAGTATACAACATATAGACAACTATAACACGAAATTATGGTAAAAAATCTTCAAAAATTCAGCCATCTTGAGAAAAAAAAATCGCACACTATAATCGACAAAAAAAGGAGAAAAAAAATCGCAAATTTGGGACTTACTTCTTCTTCTTCCATCTAATAAAACTTGAAATTAGAGCTTTGGATTCATGGGAGTTGAAATGCAGGCGACGGATGAAGGAATCTG